TCACTGCATTAGGTCTTTCCCTGAAATAGTAATACTTTGATCCTATTAATGCTCATAACTTCAACTGGAATTCTTAAAATCTGTGCAGTACAAAATGATTCAAAAGTCCTTAACCCGTAAATCACATTGACCAAAGCCTTCAAGGAGATTGTGGTATTTTTGGAAATAGTCTTGGGACACCTAAATACATTAATTAAATTTAACAGAAAATGCAGTTAAAACCTCCTTGACAGCTTCACACATCTCAATTGTTCTTTGGTGCTCCAACCACCCTATTCAAAGTTTCAAATTTTCGTTAGTCCCACATGTACAATTCCTTTCTCCTTTCCCAGTGGAGCTGTTGAGTGTTGTGTCTCTGGTGTACAGGACATCAGATTAAGGAAGCTCAAGAGAAGCACAATCTTCAACTTATTCCACCTTTCAAAAAAGAGATGTGTTATAAGAAATTCACAATGCATCACTACCCTCTCTTACCTCCATTTTTTTTCCCTCCTAACACCTCTCTTCTAAAGTGAAGAGACTATGCAAAGTGATGAATTAATTATAAAACCAATGGAGCATGTGAAATCAGAGTAATTTGGTGAGATGCAGCAGGTCTGTGCAACTAAACAAATGTTTAATAGAATAGTTATTGATTTTAGCTAAGCTGCAAGAAAAGTGAGTGCAATATTAACTGCACAAGAAAAAGACTGATTTTCTTTGATAACTGGGATATATTTTAGGATAAATTTGTGTCGATTTAGGAAGCCTGCCTGTTATTTAAATACAATGTCCTCTTTTCAAGACTATGATTTGATAATTAAATTCAAATATGTAGAGAGATGTAAAGGTTTACCCATATTTAATGCGGTAACAATAACTTGACTTGGAATCAGGCCAGACAAAGGGAAGCAAGGGCTGGTACATTTTTCAGCAGGAAAGCAGACAGCCATTGGCACAGCAGCCTTCAAAGAGTAAAGAAATCCTAGTACTGGCTGCCATTCTGCTGTGAATACCAGGAGGGCTCTAAGAGTTTAAAGAAAAGAGCATATAAATGTTCAGCTTAAAAGATGCATGTTAAATTGTCCTAAACAGCCAAGTACTCACAATAATGTCACTATTTTACATTCTTAAACTGTGACTAGAAATTCCTATTTATCCAATACAGGAGAGAATGAGCACAAAGTCAAATTCCTCCCAATACCTTCAGTGCAGGAGTGATTTAACCAATCCCAATGGATCTGGACAGGGACTGAGATAGAAGTGAATAGTCCACATGCCCTTCACCTCTCTTCTGAGACTTGGCAACTGCAGCTTCAGCAAACACTAATCTCACATCCCAAATGTTACTGGCCTGTTGGTCTGAAGATCCTTAGCCTGGTATCTGGTAGGAACGGGATATTCCTGTCAGACACAGGAGGCTTTGCACACCCCACTGCAATGAGCAGATCTGGCTGGAGTTTACTCAGGCTGACCTGGAGGAGCTCAGAGTGTCAGTAGGGAGCAGCAGCCACCCCACCATGGAAACACAAACTGCACAGGACTGGGGCTAAACAATAAATTCTGAACATTTCAATGCTGCAGATGCACTGCTGGACTGAGTACACTGACACAGGCCGAGGCCACACCTTTGGGCTGCAGCTCTGAGGTAGCCAGGGCTTGTCCCTGAGCCAGTGAGAGGTGACAGCCCCAGGTCAGGGATGAATTTGCTCTGTTAGCAGCGGAGAGGGTCGGCTGCTCTGGTTCATTGTTGTGCCCTTAGCAGAAAGCAAAGCTACACAGTGACATATTGCATAGGGCCAGGATCACACACTGGGGACAGGAACCTGCATTTCCAACTGGCACGACCTGCAGAGTTTAGCAAGGCAGTAATCCCTGCTTGGCAGTACTGCCGGGAGCCACTTGGGGAGCACGGACAGAGTGCTGAGTCACAAGTCCAGCCTAACCTGGAGCAAACCTCCAGAAACGCCACCAAAATGTCCCTCAGCCTCTGCCACCTCCCATCTGTGCCACCCCTCCTGAGCAACACTGCCCCAGCACCCCATGTCTGCAAACATGCAGCAGCATCTCACACACCACAAACCCAGGGGAGTCCTAAAATATGCTGTATTTTAACAAAATTTTACTTGCTGACATTAAACAGCCGATCTCTAGTCCTGGTGGGCACATATGGTGAAAAGACAGATCAGCCTCGGTGGGCAGCCTTCGTGTGAGGTGCAGGAGGCATCCTGCAGCACAATTCCACATCCTTGTTCAGGTTTAAATCTAGCAATTCTTAAAGTCAGAGCCCCAAATGTAATAAATTACTGGCAGATTAATGTCATCTCTTAGACTGAAAAAAAGAAGAAAGGGAAACATAAATGTAAATGTCACGTATACAACACGTTCTTTTCCACCATTTATTACCAGTAAATGCTGAGCTGTAAACCTTTAGCTGGATAATTTTTTTGCAAGCCTACAATGACCAAGAAGTGGAGGAAGTCACTGGCAAGCCAGTGAAGCTCCTGTTTCACACGGCATCAGAGACCAGGGCAAGAAGTGGGCACCTTCAGGCACCTAATGGTGTCCTGCCTCCCACGACTCACAGCTGCATTTCAGCACAGCACACGCTGATGCTATTTTGGAGCATGTGTGCTCTGCTGTAGGAGATGCGAGGCGGGAGGAAAGACAACCCCTGCTCATGTTCACATGCTGTGAAAAAAAAATTCCAGCATGAAAAACTCCTTTGATATTTTTTTTTTCAAACGAGACACAAGCACAGTATTTTGAAACAGAGCACCAAATGATTTTATGAGATTCACTGCAAAACCAAGGGGCTACAAAAGCTTCTATAAAATGGTTTTCAACCCTTAAGAAGTGAAAGTGCAGGCCATGGCTGCAACCCCAAAGTGACTGGGACATATTATAGAAGACATCCTTATTCACTATATTATTCCTGAGATCCCACCTCCCTCTAAATTTTATACTGAAGAGCTACACAGAGCCTTTCAACAGCATCAGAGCGAACAATTTTCTGCTTTTTCTACCTGTCTGCATTTGGATTCAGCCCGTCACCATTTCCAGTATTAAGTTTACAGCCCACTCTCTGTTTCCTACATTGAGTACCATGTCTTTCAGCACACACCATAAGGATGCCTGTACCAGTCAGCAGCTCCATGACCTCTGTCAGCCTGGATCTACTTATAGGGGGCCAAGGAACACTCTGGAAATAAATGCAACTATTTACAAAGGTAACAATATCATTTCAGCCCTATCACCAGGCAGTATGTCATCACAAGATCAGCAGGGCAAGAAATGCTCAGAGCAGAATTTACTTCATGAATACTCCAACCTGGTGTTTCCTGAATGAAGGACAGCGGTCAGCACTGCTTGCTAGAAAGGACTGTAAGGCAGAGGTATTGCCAAAGCATATGAATGCTGCCCGCAGCATTAAGTCTGTTTGAACATTAATATTTAAGTGTACTTTGAAACTAAGCCACTTAATAGCTGCAGTTAGTCAAGTAGCATTTTATGTTATAAGGAGTACACGTTGCTGGCTAAAGATCTGGCAACCAAAAGCGCTATGGTTAGTTGATTTAACTTCAATGGCTACTGGTTATTTAGCCCAAAACCTCATCTGAAAGAAAGACAGCCTGACAAATTATCATTACTTCAAGAAAAAACAAGAGTCTGGCAAGGTTTATATCTACCTGTGATGAAGAAAAGAAAGAAAAACAAACCCTGAACCACAATTTCGTCTCATTAGCATGTCAGCGCCAATTAAGGCCCCACTTTTTGCCCACCTGAGCTTGGATCTGCTTGTTTGCTGAAAGCAATTTTACCCAGAACAAGAGGTGATTTTAATCTAATCATACTTAACACAAAGAACGTCAAAACAACAATAGTTTCCTTCTTAAACATGTTTGATACTGCTGCTATAACAACTTCAGCTTACAACAAAGATATATTCATTCCTCCCAGTGTTTATTAACAGGCTGCTTGATAAAACCCACTTTGTATTAACAGTTCAAATATATTTACTAATAAAAACAGGTAAATATCTCCTCTATATTTAAAAATGTACATGAAAGCTTTTTTAAAGGAGTATTATTTTTGCCAGAGGCCAATAAACAGATCTCCATTTTTTAAAAAAAAATCTTATTTGCCAGATAATCAAGTGAAGCTATAAAACACCTCTGACTCTGGTCGCATAAATAAACTTGCTGATTGCTTATTTGTAATCCCAGAATATTGTATTACAGCTGTGCTGTCAGGCTGCAAGGCAGGAATTTCAGTGCCAGTGGAAGCCCAAACCCATTCAAGACTTTTATTTAAAGGATGAATTTTTGCACAGCCAGCCTATTCGTGACTTACTTAGCCAAACAGCTTGCTAAATTATAATAATAATAAGCAAGAAAAGCCAGGAAGTGCTGCCCAGCACCTGGCCAGAGGCCTCGCGTTTTTGGCCAGAGACACGATTGCAACCCCACAGTGCCTGGGACACATCACAGAAGAAACCCTTATTCGTTATCTTATTCCCAACATCCTTCCTCCGTCTAGATTCTATACAGAAGACCCACGCAGAACACTTCAACAGCTCCACTGCTAGCAATTTCCTGATTTTGTCTTTTGATTAAGCCCTTTATCCGTTCCTAGGGTTTGTGGCACCTGGGTTCCCAGTCCTACCTCACGGACATCGCTGTCCTACATTACAGCACCAGATCTTTCGGCCGGGGCCGCGCACACACCCCCGGCGGGGCCTGGGGAACGCACCCCTGCTCCGCGGGGTCCCCCCCGCTCCCCGGCCGCCGCCCCCGGGAAGGTCAGCCGGGCACAGCCCGGTGTTGCCGCTGCCGGCCGGGGAAGGCGGCGGCCGGCAGGGGGCCCCGGCGGGGCGGCGGGCGCGGCGCTGAAGGACATTTTAGCTGCCGGCGGTGCCCGGCCCCCGGAAAATGGCTGCCAGGGAGCGGGCCCCGAGCGCGGCCGCGCCGCTCGCCCGGCGCGGAGAGCGGCGGCGAGGGATGGCGGCGGCCGCCTCGTACCTTTGAATTTGAGCTCGTGCTGCGGTTCGAGGCTGAGGACCTGCTCCGCTTTCGCCATGTTCCTCCTCCTCCTCCTCGGCGGTGGCGGCACCAGGCGGAGAGAGGAAGGGACGGGGAGGGAGGGGAAGGAAGAGGGGAGGGAGGGGAAGGAAGGGAGGGAGGAGGGAAGGCGGGCGGGGGGCGCGCCCGGTGGCGGGTTCACTCGTCGCCCGGGTGCTGGTTCACCCTCTCCCGGCTGCTCGTTCGCTCGTTGCTCGGGTGCTGTTTCACCCTCGCCCGGGTGGTTGTTGCCACTGTCCCGGCGGCCGCGGAGCGGGGACAGGCGCGGCCGGCGGTCGGGCGGCGGCTGGCGGCGCACACGCTGCCGGGCAGGGCGGGCGGGAGGCGGGATGATGCAGCACGGACGGGCCCGCGGAGAGGCTGCGGCGGCGGCTGACGTGAGCCCGGCCCCGCCGTGAGGGGCCGCGGGGGGAGGCTCCGCGCCGCCGCTCCTCGGGCGCTGCTGTGACCGGAGGTGCCTTCCCGGAGCGTTTCGGGAACAAAGAGGGCAAATAAACAACGTTTATTCGTCATGGAAAGCGTGGTTTGTAATAAACGCCTTGTTATCCAGAAGCAGCGTGGTTTTTTAGGCCTCTACTCCGTGTGGCCTCAGGGCTGCAGGGGGGGCCCTCGGGAGCCGCCGGGAGCTCCGGCCGGGCTCGGGGAAGGGCAGGGAAGCGCTCCCGGGAAAAGGAGGAGCTCCCGGGGCCGCAGGGCTCAGCGCTACAGCGCCAGGACAACCCTGGGAACCGGCAGCGAGCTGCAGGCAATACTCGCTTTTTAATTAATAAAACCAGAACTTCAGGTCACCTCAGATTTTTAAGACATCCACCCTCCCCTTTCTTAAAGTTTTTTTGTTGGGGTTTTTATGTTTGTTTTGGAGTGGTTTGTGGCGGTTGTGTTTTGGGAATTTGTTTGTGTTTAGTTTTGGTTGGTTGGTTTTTACTCCAATGTTTTAAAACATTTCTTTGAAATTTACAGCATGGTTTAATATAGAGTGCAGCTTTATTGATAGCCCTAGGCCAGTATAATTACAGCACACTTCACTTTTTGCTCCCCTCTCTCCTCGGGTTGTCTTAAAACATTTGAAAAGTTCCTAAGAATTTATAAAGCATTCCTGTAACCTGTCAGGGGCAGGAGTTTGAGATGCCCCTCTTAACAGCAGAAATATGCTGGTCTTAAAAACTGGTAATTTACATACACTAAAAGATATTCATTGGACTTTATACATACTGGACTTTATACATACATGACTTCAGGAGGAGATGCCATTTGCAGAAATAAAAAGCTTCCAAAGAAAATTCATTTCTCACATCATCACTATAATCTACATGATGCAGTGCACCTTTCCCTGATGCAAATTCTTTGTATCATGTTATTTGACTTAATAAATGCTAAAAATGCATAAGGTAGCTAAAAAGATCTAGAATTACAACAAGAGTGTTGTTCTCCTTTCTGGCAATAAGAGCAATGTCAAGTGAGTGATGTGTATGATAAAATTAACACCCCTGAGCAGGACAGTGGGCATTCACTGCTCGGAGCACATCTGCAGTGTTTATGCCACACCTTCAGCTGCTCCTGTCCACCACAATCCCTGTTCTGCTCATGTGCTTTACTTTAATCTTTTTTGTTCTCTGTTGTCTTTCATTCCATGCCAAAACAAACCAAACCCATACCTGTATTTAGTACAAAACTCTTAGTTTTGCATGATACAAGTGAAACCTGCCAACTCCTTCCAGCCAGGACAATGGGACTGATTTTTTAAAGCTCCAGCACCACAGGGCAATACACTCAAATACTGCTCTTGTTCCTTAAATTCCTTCTCTTTTGGGGAAAGAATGGTCACATAACATCATAACGGGATGCATTTTCTTTTCCAGGAAACTAGATTTGGATGGTCTTATTATTTTTGCTCCTTGGTGTGAGTAGGTAATTTTTAGCCTCAACTACAGGTTATGTCATAACATTTTAAATCTCAAGTCAGGAGAGAATTGAGTTCATAATTTGCAGTTTCTTGGCTGGTACTGTGGGAAGGTTACCTTCTTTTACCTAATCTCTTAAGTTTTATTTTATAAACAGATTCTCTCTGTAAGCCAGGCAGTCTTGGAGCAGTAATTAGTAGGAAAAACAAGCTTTATACATATCAGTAAGTTATTTGTAAACTAACGGCGAGGAGTAAGAGAGAAAGCTTTACACAGCATACAGTCATGCATAATAAAAGCCCTAAAGTAAACAACCATTAAGGGTTGCTGCCCAGACCTTTCCGAGTTCTACTTTTCCTGAAAGAAGTACAAAGAAGCCCCTGAAGCGTTATGATCCGCCTCTTAAAGGATTTGCCAAGATGTATCACCTTGCCCTAATTGGCAGCTCTGAACTTACCTGTTTGTATTTGAAGGACTCGCCCACGTTTTCATCCAGGCTGAAGGTTTTACAAAGCACAGCATTGTTTAAGTTGGAAATTTATGAAGTCTACTGAATGTAGGTTGTCAGGTTTTCGTTGCATGTAAATAATGTGTGTACATTTAATGTTGTGCAGGTCAGATTCACTGAACTGGGTGTGCATGGAGGCCACCTGCAATACCCCATCCCTGCTCCACAGACAGCTCTCACTGGGGACAATTCAGCCACAAGACTAAAAGGTAACTTCTTGCCCACGAGGGTTTTTGATTAACAGGAGAAAATTGGGATGAACACTGCAGGGAAATGCTGGACAGCACCTGAAAGCTTTGTACTGAAACAATTTTGAAAGAACAAGTTTATTTTTTGCAAAACTTCTGCCTTAGAAGCTATGAAAGACTTGATCCAAGTGAAACATTCTCATTGTGTGTGTGAAAATCCAGTGGTTTGCATTTAATTCTCAGATTCCCTATGTAAACACATACAAGTGTCTTTTTCTCTCTATTCCAGCATATTCCTTGTGTCTACCCTTCTTATGCTCTCTCTCCCTGATGCACATTCATGCCATCTTAGACAAACCCATCTGACACTATTCAAAAACAGTTTGTTCACATCTAAGAGCATAACTTCAAAATTGCAGGTAACAAGAAATTTAAATTATTCCAGGTCTCTGTTAAACAAAAGATGACATGGTATGTGTTTCCTGCATAGGAACTGCAGCCACTTGCTTAGTAAAAACTTGTACCCAACCTTTTCATGTGAAACAACAGCTCAGAAACAGGACTTTATGTTTATTTAGCTTTTGAAGGTTGCTATTAACTCAACAGGTTAGATGTGCATCCCAGATTAAAGCAACCAAACCACGTCTTTTAAGCATCATGTAAGACAAGCGAGTTAACTGCAGCCAAATCCATATTTTTGAGGACTACATAAGCACCAGAGCAGTGGTTTAAAAAAAGCAAGCCACCAACCAGCTGGCTGTATTAACAAACAAGAGAAGATCCCTTCCTAGCACAACAGGCCCATGACACTATGCAGATATTAAAAGCACTTTACAGTTTTGATTGACAGAAACCTGGCCTAAGCAGTTGAGCACTGTGCATTTCATGCAGTCGAAGGTAAAAGCAATGTATTAAATAACTTGGCCCTGATAGAATTTGTCAGGCCTTGCCCTGCTTGACAAGCCTGTGTGTGGCCTGCAGTTTCTCAGGCATGGTGCTGCAAAGAAAGGAAGTGTTACACAAAAGCTGCATTCTCTCTGCTGTTTGCCCCCATCCCTTCTTTGCACAGGATCTTCTGCCTTTGTCTGTGTGTACACAGACCAGGGAAAAGCTCCAGTTTCTGAACACCAGTAGTCAGGACTTCTGGAAAACAGCTATTCCAGTCATTTGTACATGTAAACGATTGCTTACATTCCTCTTCTATAATTGTATTGCTATAGAGACTGTTTTTTAAGATGTGGAGAATTTTGGAAGCATTTATGAACAAGCCAGCATATTTATAAACAAAGCTTTTTATTAATAAAATGTTTACACCTTTTTTTTTTGCACAATACATCAGACTGGTAGTGATTTAGCATGTTATTACACTATAAAAGTTTATTATGAATGCTTAGGCTGAAAAGGCTGTTTACATTATGTCAAATCAACATTTCTTTGTTTGCATTCTATGCACTATATGGGAGTGTAACGACTCAAACAAAAAGGAGAGAACAAAAGCCTGGTTTTCCTCATTAGCATCTACAAACCAACAATACAGACAAACCTGTACACGCTCTCAGGACCAGCCCAAGAGAAGACTAAAAAAAGTCTCAAAACATTCAGAAGCTTGGGAATTCATCACTACAATATTTCATCACTAGTAATCTGACTACACTTCATGCAGTGAAGCAATGGGTGGAAATTTGTGCAGTTTACAGTGCTGCAAATGCTCTATAACTTTGAGCGGCTTAAGTTTGTTTTAGTAAGAGATAATAGAAGGCACAGACCTTTCAACCCTTGTAACAGGTTAACCCATCCTACAATGAAAAGGCAGAATGCTGTTATGAGTGACAAGAATTGCTGATACAAAGGTTAACCTTTACACATTTTACAGGCAAACATTTACTACACTGCAAGAGCTCTATGCATATCAGGTTATTTTTGTGTCCTGAACACACAAATGCAGTTTCTCAATCAGAAAAAAACCTTTTTTTTCTTCATAGTCCTCACTGTGGGGGGTACAAGTGGGAAGATTGCCAGGAAGTCTTAAGCATCTTAGCTACAGAAATGCAATCCATTTCTGTGCCTTAAATCAATTAACTCACCATCACAGTGTCAGTGTTGGATACACAATTTCAGAAAGAAGGACAAGAAAGGAAGTTAAAATACAGAAGAGTGGACTAGAGGCTTACAATAACTTGCTCCTCCAGGTGAATGTTCTTTTAGCCTTTGTTATGTGGTAAAATACAGTCGTGGCACAGGTCTCAGCTGCTGTAACAGTTTCATAAGGCTGTGCTAATGAATTACCCTGTAGCTTACAAATATTTGCTGCTGTGACAGATACTTCTAGAACTTTGTGGCAAAATAGACACTACCACCTATCCTTGTCTAAATCCCATAAGGAAACAAAGAACAAATTGCCAAGAAAACATAATGGATTTAATAGGAAATACATACTGTAACATGAGTAAAAGTGAGGCAAGATAGTAGCAG